GACAGGACCTGGGTGAGTGAGGTCTGGATGACTGACAGGACCTGGGTGAGTGAGGTCGGGATGACTGACGGGACCTGGGTGAGTGAGGTCTGGATGACTGACGGGACCTGGGTGAGTGAGGTCTGGATGACAGGACAGGACGGGACCTGGGTGAGTGAGGTCTGGATGACTGACGGGACCTGGGTGAGTGAGGTCTGGATGACTGACGGGACCTGGGTGAGTGAGGTCTGGATGACTGACGGGACCTGGGTGAGGTCTGGATGACCGACAGGTCCTGGGTGTGTGAGGTCTGGATGACTGACAGGACCTGCCTGAGTGAGGTCTGGATGACCGACAGGACCTGGGTGAGGTCTGGATGACCGACAGGTCCTGGGTGTGTGAGGTCTGGATGACTGACAGGACCTGCCTGAGTGAGGTCTGGATGACTTACAGGACCTGGGTGAGTGAGGTCTGGATGACAGGACAGGACAGGACCTGGGTGAGTGAGGTGTGGATGACTTACAGGACCTGGGTGAGTGAGGTCTGGATGACTGACAGGACCTGGGTGAGTGAGGTCTGGATGACAGGACAGGACAGGACCTGGGTGAGTGAGGTCTGGATGACAGGACAGGACAGGACCTGGGTGAGTGAGGTCTGGATGACTGACGGGACCTGAGTGAGTGAGGTCTGGATGACTGACGGGACCTGGGTGAGTGAGGTCTGGATGACTGACAGGTCCTGGGTGAGTGAGGTCTGGATGACCGACAGGACCTGGGTGAGTGAGGTCTGGATGACAGGACAGGACAGGACCTGGGTGAGTGAGTTCTGGATGACTGACAGGACCTGCCTGAGTGAGGTCTGGATGACAGGACAGGACCTGGGTGAGTGAGGTCTGGATGACTGACAGGACCTGCCTGAGTGAGGTCTGGATGACTGACAGGACCTGCCTGAGTGAGGTCTGGATGACAGGACAGGACCTGGGTGAGTGAGGTCTGGATGACCGACAGGACCTGGGTGAGTGAGGTCTGGATGACCGACAATCAGGCTTGCACGGTGCCAGACGCTGTCCCCAGCCATGGCCTAGCAGCCGGACATAACTCTGAGACTGACCACCCACCTCCCCCATATCTGCCTGCCTTCCAGCTCAGGACCTGCCAGGGATGTCAATGGCACCCCACCCAGCTCTGGCCCCCCCATCTGCAGCTGCTAGAGAGCCGCCTCCATCTCCAGCCCTGCCTTCCCCTCCGGTCCCCCAATTCCACACTTTCCAGGCCTTTTGCCTGCCTGGGAGTCTTAAGGCCCTCGTAGTGGCAAACACCAAGTGAACAGCCCCTGTCCATTCTCCTCCGGGTGGTCTGCACTCATGTCCACAGCCCATGCATCTCGATGGCTCCAACTGGGCCTGTGGCAGTTGTCCCCGTGGCCTCTAGGCCACCCTGATGGCAGAGTGACTCTCAGTCTCTCATCAGAACCGCCTCCAGGATCCTCCCCACTCACAACAGGGTCATCGACGGCTAAGCCAGCCAAGATGCCCGATTCCGACTCTGGGGACAAACGTCCCACACACCATAAGGCAGAGTCCCCTCTCTCTGCCACGGGGCTTCCACTCAGAAAGGCACCGCGGGAGCAGTACACGGCACAGAGGCACACATCCAACAAGGCGCAGCAACAAGCACCCTGGAAACCTACACGTAACGGTTCCCTCTATTCTAGGACGCAGTAGTGTCATAGGCGTAAGTCACGGCACTGCTGAAACCGAGCCCCACATGAGGAAGGTGTGCAGTGGCCTGCTACTCCCCAGCCCTCCCCTTACCTCTCCAGCATCGTTCACGCCCCCAGACCTCTGCTCCTCAGTCTCCAAGGCCTCCGGCTGAGATAAGGTCCTCCCACTCCTGCCTTCTGAGCTGTTCTGTCTGCTCAGGCTCTCCTCGGGCTCGCAGGACCCATGAGTCCCCTCCAGGCAGCCCAGACACTTCTGTTCTGAAAACGCCTGGAATCTTCCACCAGGCATTCTTTGCTTCCTGTACATTCCGGGGGCAGGCAGTGGACTGGGCGCCATTTCTGCTGACAAATCCAACTTCTGAGAAGAGGCCGAGTCCTCAGTATCCACAGAGTCTGCAATACAGAGAGGACGGGGCCCACGTCAGGCCAAATTCTCCAGGTGCAGGGTTCAACACTGTAACTTTTGAAAGGCATGCGTGTTCCCTTGTATATGTGCATACAGGCACACATGCACACTTACACATGTACATGCATACTTGCACAAAGACACATGCAGAGGGTGGGCACCGAAGGAGGAAAGGGCACACGGGCACACGTGCTAACACGGAAACTCTGGGGGCATCTGGATGACGCAGACACGGACTGCCACAGCTTGGCGTGTTCACCCCAGGATGACCAGCGTGCAACACACGTCAACAAAGAGCTCCAGACAACGTCTAAGCACACATCCATCTCTGATGGCAGGTGAAGTGACAGGTTCTGACGGTCCACGAGGTGGTGGGTCCCATGCACCGTGCCAATCACTAAACCCCCGGACACACAAGGCCGAGGGAAGGGCCAGCTTGTCTGGGGAAGGACAGAGAAGGCAGGAGAAGGCACAAAATGTGCAGGGTCAGCTCACGACCACATCCCACAGTGGCCAACACACAACCTGGCTAGGTCCCCCTCCACCCAGTTGCCCTGTCTCTTACCAGCTAGGCATAAGCAAGCTTCCAGAAGGTGCTAGGCTCACTCAAGACGAGGTTTCTTTTTTTTTTTTTTTTTTTTTTTGAGTTGGAGTCTTGCTGTTGCCCAGGCTGGAGTGTAGCGGAGGCTGGAGTGTGGTGGTGGGATCTCGGCTCACTGCAACCTCCACTTCCCAGGCTCAAGCGATTCTCATGCCTTAGCCTCCCGAGTAGCTGGGATTACAGCTATGTGCCACCATGCCCGGCTAACTTTTGTATTTTTAGTAGAGATGTGGTTTCACCATATTGGCCAGGCTGGTCTCCAACTCCTGACCTCCAATGATTCCACCTGCCTCGGCCTCCCAAAGTGCTGAGATTACAGGCGTGAACCACCACGCCTGGCCTGCTCACGGTGGGAGGTTTCCTGATGCTCACACCACATAGATGAGCATCACAAGAAAGCACGTGATGCTCTCGGTTAACTTTTCTCAGCTTGGTTTTCAAAATGTAGCTACTGCCATAACCTGGGCCCATACGCTTAAAAGAAAGTGTGTGTGTGTGAGTGGGAGGGGCGAGGGTGGAGAAAGGGAGGAAGCCACACACACGTGCAAAGAAAAAGCAACTGACTACTCACCGACCCTGAATCTAAAACATGAATGGATTATAAATTTCAGTGTGCTGTATTCTTTCCAAAGACATTTTAGAGACTTCCACAAACAAATAAATAAATTTAAAGAGAAGAGAAATTTCATAGTAAAATCAAACCCTGTGAAAAATATGTAACTACTTAAAAAGGAATGGAAGGGAATAAAGGTGGACGGGTTTCATGCTGCGGTGGTTTGAAGGAATCCCCAAAGTTCCTAAGACGGAAACATATGGCCATTGTAAGGGTATTAAGAGGGGCCTTTCAGGGGTGAAGAGGCCGCAGGGCCAGCCCTCAGGGAGGGAGGAATGCTGTATCGCAGGGCGGGGCTCCTGATCAAGGATGAGTTTCTCTCCACCACTCTCTCTCCAGCTTGCTCCGCCTGCGCCCCGGGATGGCCAGCACCAGATGCCGGTGCTGTGCTCTTGGACTTCCCAGTCTCCAGAGCCATGAGCCGTATAAGCTCTGTTCTTTGTCAATCACCAGTCTGCAGCTTCTTGTTACAGCAGCAGCAAACAGACTGAGATGCGTGTGAGTACCTGGGTGTGGGGTGAAGCGGGCGTGCGCCCCGTGGGCACGGGAGGCCTCTGGCTCCGTGGCGTGCTGTGGCTGTGGCGGGTGCTCTCCACAGGGCCGGCTCCGAGGCATCTTCTCCACACAGCACGCTCTGCAGCTGGCCCACCTCGTCTCTCGGCCCTGCCTCCCGGAGTCTCCACACTGGTGCTGGAGTGACTGTGGGCTCAACAGGTGTCTGGATTCTATTTTATTAAAACATTGTAAATAAAAGATTTCATAACATACCGTAAAAGATTTATTTCATTAAAAATTGCATTTTAAGCTTCTGAACGGCGTATGGCATCGGCTAGACTGAGGTGTAACCACGTGCCAGGTGACTCCGGAGTGAATTTACAGTGACTCCTAGCAGCAGAAGAGCTGGGGGCTAGTGAGCTGGCCCCACTCACTGTGAGACTCAGGATGTGGCTGGAAGAATCCAGCAGTCTGAGGTGGGAACACAAACAAAACAACGCACAGCACAGAAGACAGAGTCCAGATGGTCTCAGGTCCAACATGCCAAGTAATTAAATGAGGAAAAAGGGCCTTTTCAACAAAAGGCATCAGAACAGCTGAATGTACAGTCATTCCTGAGTCTCCACAGAGGACTGGTTCCGGCACACCCCAGGGACGGCAAGATTCAAGGATGCACAACTCTCACGTGAAATGGTTTAGCTGTGTACGACCTACACACCTCCACCCCTACAAGTCATCTCTTGCCTACTTATCAAACATAACACAGCACAAACGCTGCTGCAGCCGGCCCTCCCTACTTAGGACAGGTAACGCAGCACAAACGCCGGCCCTCCCTCCTTAGGACAGGTAACGCGGCACAAACGCCGGCCCTCCCTACTTAGGACAGGTAACGCGGCACAAACGCCGGCCCTCCCTACTTAGGACAGGTAACGCGGCACAAACGCTGGCCCTCCCTACTTAGGACAGGTAACGCGGCATAAACGCTGCCGCAGCTGGCCCTCCCTACTTAGGACAGGTAATGCGGCACAAACGCCAGCCCTCCCTACTTAGGACAGGTAACGCAGCACAAACGCTGCCGTAGCCGGCCACAGCGGCACATGCCTGCAGTCCAGGATCCCGAGGAGGCTGAGGCAGGAGGATCGCCTGAGTCTACAAGTTTGAATCCAGGCTGGGCGGCATAGCAAGACTCCATCTCTACAAAAATACAAAACAAATAGACGTTGTGTAAATACTTATACTGTATTATTTTTTAATTGCTATATTGGGGGGGTGGCAGATTTCTGTAATTTTTCCAAATAGTTTCCATCCATGGTTGGTTGAATCCAGAGATTCAAAACCAACGGATACAAAGGGTCAGCTGTACATGTAGGGGGATGTCCTGACCTGTTAACTCACAACACACACAAAAACTAACCCCCAAAAGTGAATTGTACAGCTAGACACTAAGACTATGGGACATCTGTAACAAACACGGGAGAAAATCTCCATGAGCATGGGGTGGACAAAGATTCTTTACAGACACACAAAAGCCCAGACCATCAAAGGAAAGACCTCATGAGCTGGACTGGACTGAAATTAAAACTTGTGTTCTCTGGCCGGGCGCGGCGGCTCACGCCTGCAATCCCAGCACTTTGGGAGGCTGAGGCGGGCAGACCGCCTGAGGTCAGGAGTTCAAGACCAGCTTGGCCAACATGGCGAAATCCTGTCTCTACTAAAAATACAAAAATTAGCTGGGCGTGGGCTCCTGTAATCCCAGCTACTCAGGAGGCTGAGGCCAGAGAATTGCTTGAACTTGGGAGGCGGAGGCTGCAGTGAGCTGACATCGTGCCACTGCACTCCAGCCTGGGGGACAGAGCAAGACACCATCTCAAAAATAAAACAAAAACCTGTCTCCAGTTT